GAAGAAGGAAAACACATATCAGAATATCAATGTGGATATAATAAAGTACAATAGATCAATAATAAGACTAGAAAAATAAGAGAGGCCAATTTAAACAAACAACATCTAATAGCCATATTTTTTGATATAGAAAAAAGCATTTGATCAAACCTGAAACATGGTATAATGAAAGATCTGCAAAATTAGATTAAGAGGTCGACTACCAAACTTAGTAAAAAGGATTTTTAACAGATAGACTTCTTCCAAGTACAAATAGATACTACACGCTTCTGATTATCAAAAGGGACCACAGCACTTTTCAAAATAAAAATAAATGACATAATAAAAAACATCAAATCAGGATACACTGTACATTTATGTTGATGATTTTACAATATATTACAGAAACCTCAACACAGCAGAAAGACAACTTCAACAATGTTTACATCAAATAAACAAATGGACACTTTCGAAAACGGTTTTAAAATATCAAAACGAAGACAAAATCTGTACACTTCTGCCAAATGAAAAATTACATAACTCTAAACTATGAAGAAATACCAGTAGTTCAGCAATATAAATTGAATGATCTTTGACAGCAAGAACCACATATCAATTACCTAAGAACAAAATGTTTTAAAGCTCTCCAACTATCATGAACAGTAGCCCATACAGAATGGGGAGCTAGCAAAAAAACCCTTCTTAAGCTTTATAGAACGTTGATCCGCTCCAAACTGGACTATGGCAGCATGGTCTACCAATCAACTAGAAAATCTTATCTAAAAACAATCACAATACCCAGATCCCAATTAGAGAGTCTACATGTAGAGGCAAACGACCCCCATTAACTGGGAATGGGGAAGTTTATATCTAAAACTCTTCCTGTCCTTCCTCCCCACACACAATTACACCAAATCACAAAGAGAAATTTATCAAAAGCCTTGGGACTCGGAGGTATCTAAGGCAATCAAATACTTAAAACCAACCAAACAAACATACCACCATGGATTTATTATTAAACAAATTATCAAAATCAAAACACACCTGTTATATCCATCAAATAAGAACTACTAAGATGGATGGGAAAAAAAAACAGGCAGCGCAGCAATATATAAGATAGATATCAATTTTCAGTGCAAAACCTCGCAATGTATATCTTTTGATTTTTCAAAAAACAATTTTATGTAATATTTACACAAAACCTTAATATAAAGTGTTATATATTATTAAAACGAAAATTCATTTCAGTTTCCTACTTGAGGATTGCTGAGACAATTGAAAAATTTATACAGACTTAAAATCTTATGAATGTTGAAAAAACCAAACCGAAATTTATTTTTTTATTTTTAACCAAAAAAACAAGTTATGAACACATTCACACATATTTTATATAGTTTTTATTTTTGACATTTGTATTTGTTTAGTTCTCTTCAGAAAATACAGTTTTCTCAAATCAATAAAATATAATAGTGTATATATATATATGCTTACTATATAATGAATATAAACAGTAAAATTGTTTCTTGCAAGTGAAAAATATATACAGTTTTCAATATTTTTTCTTTTTTAACAAAATAACCAAAACGTAAATTCATAAGTATCTCTTGTGAATTTGTCACTTCAAGTTTCTTATACTGTCTTCATTTTTTGGCAAACAGTATTGTCTGCCTCTTGTTCTCCACCATTAAAAATCGATTTACATTTTTGATATATTGTGGTGTTAATGAAGGTCTACTGGTTGGACAAAACTTTTGTCTCATCTTCAAATTCTGTTTGATAACTGTTTTGTTTTGCAAATGATCCTATTAGATCCATTTTTTTTTCTATTTTAAATTGTTCTTATTCAACATTGATAGATTATTCAGGATTTGTTTGTTTCAAATATTGTTCATAGGCTGAGAAATGGTATTTTGAATAAAATAAAAACACTATGTAAAGTCTGTTACTTGTCTCTGGAGTACCTTTGTGCATGTATTTCACTGTCGAAATGCCTAAGATTATAGAAATAATAAAGGCTATTTTGAATCTTCTTTGGAAAAATTACAAAATATAAGTGAGTATATATAATATAAGTATGTTGTAATTCATATATGAACATTTGATCATTAGATCAGAAATTAATGAAACTCATATCTCAAGATTGATATATAAATAAGAGGTTCTTAACTTTATATGCTGTGATTGAGCTGATCAACAGAAATGTATAAGCAACTTATGTCTGTTGTATCCAGGCTATTGAGCTACCTATTGGCAGATTATTTACTTGTGTTCAATTATTATATGAGGTTTTGTAATGTATTGGAATGGATCTGAAGCCTTTCCAATTGCTGATAAATTTAAGTCCTGTGTTTGCATAGAGATCTGTGTGTAGCACAGCACCTTCAAAATGCTTTGTCAAAGTTTTGGAGAACTTTAAGTAGAACATAGATATATGCATTTCAAGGCAGTTGACTGTTTGTGAAATGGTGAGCAATCAGGGTGACCAAGAATATGCTGAATAATCTTGTGGTTTTCTCACATGATTGCAATCAGTTTGGGAGACTGTCAGATAATAAATTTAATTTGACTATTATAATTGTAATGTTAAAATGACAGTGGAATTTTCAATCTTTTTCAAGTAGGCAGATAATTCTAAATTTTGCTACGTGAAATGTTGAAGGTTTGTCATATATCAGTTATCACCCCAGTGTGTGTAAATAGAAAACTTTCATCTATTCTTTGAGTATTCTTCTGTTGTTGATAAAAATGTTTTGTTTCATATTTGGTGGATTTTATGTGGGGAACTAAACTTCTATTTTAAGAATTTTATAAAGTAATCTTGAACTCTCTCTCTCTTACAAATCAGTTTACTCAAATCATGAACATTGGGTAACATTGAACTTTATTTAGTATATTTAAGGATATATAAGAACCTCTCTCTATTTATTCCTCTAAAATATCTCTTTGTTCTTATATATGAAGTTGAGGTCTCTGGAAGGTTAATGTTTATCCACATGCTATAGATTAACAGTACTTTTACAGAGCCTAACTTTTTAATATTAAATGTAAATAGGAGAGGAAAGGGGCCTTTTATATGCCATGAAAAATGGTACCTTGCTTGTGATAATTTGGCCAATTTGGGTATTAATAGAACATACTATTTCTGTAAATACAAAGTTAAAATGATGCTATATACTTATGTTGATTATAAGTGAAAACTAAAATATTTTGTATCACTGTCCATTTTGACTTTTTTGACTAGAGGCAAATTTAATTTGCACAAAGTCTGAATTTCATTTAAAGCAGTGACACTCTGGATATTTCTTTAATTTATACACACAAGAGCATTCTAGAAAGTATTATCATTTTGAATATCTCAAGAACTGTTTGTGTGTCCTTCATGTAATTTGGCAATCAATCAGACCTTACTACATATGCATGAATATACTTTCCTATGGGGTTGTTGGGTTGGCAGTGAGAAATTGAGTGAGCATGTATATTGTGTGACGATTGTAATCACAGGGAATAAAAGCTTGAAACTTGGAGATTTGTTCAGAAGAAACTATTTGAATTAATGAAGGTGGCTTTCAGAGGTAATCGGTCAAGCCTAGATAAAATCTTGTTACTGTGGTTTTTAACAGGAATCTGTTAAAAGGATTTACATTCTGTAAGGTCTACAACAAGCAGAAAACCTAAAAATGTTTAATGTGTTTGGGCTGCAAAGAAAATTGTCAATTAACTTTGATAATTAAAATATGATCTTAGGATTCCATGGACTGACTGGATAAGATGCAGCCATTTTGAATCTTTCAGGTGCCTATCTTTCACATCTTTTGCATGATTGGGTTTTTTTTTTTTTTTTTTTGAATACATCACATCCCCCAGGTCAGTCAACACAGCCTTCATGTCTAAATTTGGCTCCTTGTGGCTTGAAATGGTGGAGATTTCAGACCATAGATGAGATTAAGGAGAATACCACATGATAAATGATGGCAATTCCAAAGTGAATTTTGCAGACTGACATGAAAAATAGAAGACACACTTGGCGGCTAAGTGTATGGGGTACTTTGAAGTTGATTAAGGTGACATTGCCATAGGTAAACTATCTTTTTTGTTAGTATTTAATGGTTTGTGATCATTTCTGGACAGATTTTGTATGAAAAGCAAATATCTAAAATTGTCTCTCCATTGGGGAAAATTATCCTTAATTGTCTATATGACAGATGGAAATGCTTACATTACATTTTAAAGCCCATAGTCACATAAATGCTCTACAATAAATTACTATTGACAATAATGATTGCTTATAGGTAGGTATTAAGAACAATACAAGTTTGGTTTGAAGTTGTCAAAGCACTTAGAGGAAAAGAAAGTGCAAAGTCACTTGGTTGTGTGTTAGTCCCTATTTGTAACTGTATCTATATACAGGGTCAGTAAGGCTTTCTACTTATCCATGACATGTTGAAATTATGTTCACAACATTCAATCTCTTGAAAATTATCATAAGTTACCTTGCTATCTGTGTATTCATTAATGCTGATCAGGATAGTGGTTGGGGATGGTTGACAATAATTCACAAAACATTTGACTACATTGGAACATTTAGGTATAAATAATTATTACTTAATATTGTAAATTGTAAGTTAAATTGATAACCAGAAAATTGTCAGATTGCAAATATTACACCTCATCCAATGCACTGATATTATGACTGAGGGGGTCATCTACCAAAGCACAAACTGGACATATGCTTGGATAAGTTGCAGTGGGGGATTGTCCCTCGCTCCAAATACCATTTTAAAGTATGTCTTACAGGCCAGCAAATACAATATTTTGTGTTTTCTCCCAAAGATACTCTGTGGAATTTTATATACATCTTACTGGTATCTTAAAAAAGGAAAGAAAAATGCCAATTTTGGATTGCTTTCTTCTTAATAAATGAAATTGTCACTTGTTCTTATTTTCCAGGTTCTTTAACCAGCCACCATAGTTCTTTGCTATTTTAAATCCCTTGCAGTTGGTAACTATCATATACTCAAGCTATGGAACTAGGGGTCAGTGGAGATGATGAAGGCTTTGCTGAAGGTGATGGTCAGGTTGATGTCCAAATGGAGTGTTCGCCTGTTGTAGACCTAGAAGGTGAGATATACTTACATTTTTCATTTACTTTATTTACCCATCCCTAGACTTTCAAGGATTTGCATGCTATTACTGACAAAGCCATAGGACACTGTTTCAAAAATGAAGATTTATCTTATTTATAAACCTATTAAAAGAAAACTACAGGATTTTGAAACAATATATTTCACAGTAATGACAATGGTTACTTTTAAAGTATAAGTATTCTGTGGTTGAAACCTAATCAAATCTAAAAGTATTTAGAATAAATGCGTTGTGAAGTGGCTGATTTTATATCCTTTGTTATTTGAAATGTTCACACACACACACATATATATATATATATATATATATATATATATATATATATATTAGATGTGCAGTTTAACCGAAAAACAGACTTTTCGGTTTCATCTTCATACTGTGAAACTGCATCAAAATCTTTTACGAAACTAAACAATTTCAGTTTCAATTTTATATCACTACTGAGTGACCATATCCAAAGAAACACTATTGAAAAAAAACAGATGTTAATAAAATTAAATTTTATCAACATTTATACCATTATAACAGAAAAAGATTGAACAAAAATATGTTAAAAACATTTGATTAGTTTTAGGAAATAAATGTGAAATCTATTTGTTTACAAAAGAAATGAAGAAAAAAGAAAAAACAAAGGAAATACGACATGAAGTCTGAAAGTGAAATGTATTTGTTTCAGTTTTCAAAAAAAAAAAAATTTTTTTTGCCCTAAAATTAACAAAATAATGAGTAAAAATAAAAAAAAAAAAGTTGCTAATTTCATCTTAATGTTAAATTTTATGAAGTCGGATTTTTTGTAAGGGTTTTAAGCCATTACATCAATCATGAAATAAAGTTGTTGTAATCAAGAAAAATGAATAAAGATTTTTTTTTTTTTTTTTTTTATTTTTTTTTTTATATAAATAAATTTGTTTTTATCTATGGTATACATGTAAATTAGATATTAAGAATAATTAAAATAGTTCTTAATTTTACTTTTAAGATGTGGATATTTCTAGATATGCAAGTCTCTGTTTTCTACAAATAAAATTGTTTCTACCTAGTGAATACACATAAAATTAGATATTAAAAAAATAAAGTCTTAATTTCAGTTTTAAAATGTGTATAATTTCAAAACTAATCATTTTTTTAAACCCAAAGTAAAAATTATTCTTTTTTAGCCACTAGTGTTTGGTGGGTGTTTGTTACTGTTCTACCTATAAAATTCTTCTAAACAAGGAAAATTAATTCATTTTATTTTTACAAATATCTTCATGGTTTTATCTGGCAAATAATACACTTAAGATTATATTAAAATGATTAAAATTAGTTTTTAATTTCAGGTTTAAAATGTGTATCTAAAAAAACAACAGGTGCTACTTGCAGATTTGGAAATTTACACATTCTAAAAATGAAATTAAAAGCTTTTAATTCTTTTTAATATTTAATTTTGGGTGTATTCACTAGATAAAAACAAATTTTCCTTGTTAAGAAGAAATTTATTTGCAAGACCCAAATAAATAGTTGACTGGTGTACCAGAAAAGAATTGCTGTATTTTTTTAGTTTTTTTTGCTTGCTTTATAATTTTTGAAGAAAATTGCTTCCTCGGGTCAGAGAGGAAATGAACACCATCCTGGTTGTAGTTTAAGTTTTCTCTTAATTGAATGTATAATTTCAAGAATATTGATAAAGATTGGTCACTTTGATTTTGCGAAACAAAGCAACGTGTACAATTTAGTTTTAAAAAAAAAATCATTTTGCATTTTTGGCTGGTCGAAGCAATACCATTTTAAGTTGCTGTAAAAAAAATAATTCAATGAATAAAAGCACATACAAATTACATATTTAAAAAAATATTCATATGGCTGGAAAGAAAATAATATAATCTATCTAGATTATATTATTTTCTTTCCAGCACATATGAATATTTTTAAGATTGGAGCAGAAATTCGTGAGATATTGCGAGTTGAACAGTTTAAGTATTATCAATCTCAAACAAAATAAGATATTGACTGGAAATGCTATCATTACACAAGAAAATGAATGGCTACCTTAGAAAGCAAAAATACTAAATTAAAACCCTAACCGAAAATTGTGGTATCAATAAAACAAAAAACGGAAACCGATACTGAAACATAAATTGCCAAACCGACTAACTATATATATATATATATATATATATATATATATATATATAAGAAGAACAGTAAGATATATAATCCAGTGTTCGTGTTATTTTTTATTTTTACAAAACAGTGCTCAATGTAAATTTACAGAGCATAAATATTATAAATTAACTGATTTAAAATATGGTTTTTCGCTACACAGTAATAACCATGTTTCAAAAATGGAAGCTAAAAAACTTTAAATTTAATTATATAATTAAATTAAAAGCATTAGTTCCGTTTCATCTTCAAGCGAATATTGGAATAACTTATTTTTAAATTTACTGAGTTTTAAACACACATAATTTCATAATTTACTGTTTCCAAGGATACATAGGAATCCAATCATTCAGACAGGGGCTGTAGCATGCTCATTTTTATTAACTATTGTTGTATCAATTATGAGTTACGTTTGAAAAAGAGGTTAAGTTTAGGGAGGGTGGGGGTTTATTTTTCAACGAATTCTGACATCTGTTAAATGCATGTCGTCTGGGTCCCCCCCTCCATATACTCAAAAATTTTTTATTTGTGTTTGTGTTAAAATACGTTTTATTAAACTACAATTTTAAAATATTTTTACTCTTAATTACTAAGAGACTATATTTCTTTTTAAAAACAAATAAATGTAATAGAATTACTTACATTATTCAAATTTTTTTTTATCAAATATAAGTATGTATATTACCAGCTCCCATTTTTTAAATTTTATTTTTAAATCTATTTTTAAATATTATTTAAGGAAAATTTTTGACACTGACGGCAAAAAACAGCTATTTCATTTGTCTGATTCAGTAAATTTTTATTTTTTATAAACTTAGTAATATATAGTTTCTCATGTATGCACAAAGGACATGGGTCATCTAATGACCTACATATTCTAGCTTTTCTTATTAATTTCCATTTTACTGTAGCTGTTTTATTGGATTCTTTTAATTGCCAGAAATGCTTTGAGAGTGATGTTTGATTTCTGTACTTATCTATCCTAAATGAAGTTTAGGGTTTCTATGAGGGTTTCTACAGTTACATAATTTTTGTTTATCTACATCTGTTTTTTTTTATTTTTATATTGTCTAAATTTCTTTGGTTTTGGTCTCAAAGTATTTCTGGCAATTAAAAGAATCCAATAAAACATGCATTTAACAGATGTCAGAATTCGTTGAAAAATAAACCCCCCACCCTCCCTAAACTTAACCTCTTTTTCAAGCGTAACTCACAATTGATACAACAATAGTTAATAAAAATGAACACGCTACAGCCCCTGTCTGAATGATTGGATTCCTCTGTATCCTTGGAAACAGTAAATTATGAAATTATGTGTGTTTAAAACTCAGTAAATTTAAAAATAAGTTATTCCAATATTAAGAAGATGAACTGAACTAATGCTTTTAATTTAATTATATAATTAAATTTAAAGTTTTTTAGCTTCCATTTTTGAAACATGGTTATTACTGTGTAGCGAAAAACATATTTTAAATCAGTTAAATATATATATATATATATATATATATATATATATATATATATATTTATATATATATATATATTTGCGTTTAGTGTATTGGAGTAGCAGTTCATTGTTTAAACAAATTGTTAAATATAACAATGTTTATTATGTTTGATTTGAGCCATTCTAAACTTTGTTTGCTTTAATTTTGGGTGAAAACCTGCTATTCTGTGACTGTTATCGTCACATAGTAATCTTATGTCAACATAACAGAATATCATCTTTGATGGTGAATATCTTTGTTTAAATGTCTGTAGAACCACTCTGAAGATGGCTCATGTGACCAGAAAGCTTAGATCAAGGAACAACATAATAAAAAAAAAAAATATCCAAATGTTGGACAATTTTTTTTTTTTTTTTTTTTTTTTTTTTTTTTTATGAAGTTTAGAATGGCTCATGATCAAACATAATAACCATTCATTGTCTGTTATATTTTAGATATATATATATATATATATATAATATATATATATATATATATATATATATATATATATATATATATATATATATATATATATATATATATATCTTGTGTACCAGTGGTTGGTGATGGGTATAATCTTCCATGTGTTTTCAAGCCTTATTTTTTTTTTTTTCTGCAATGTCAATCTTTTTCCTATACAAATCATCTTCCTTGCACTGACGACACTAGATGTTAGTGTTTTTGTTACAATGACAAACTGTATAAAGCTTGAATGTGACAAAAAAAACCCACTGACATAGCAAAGTACATTTGTAATTGGAAAAAAAAATATATTTAAACTCTTACATATACAAAGACTTTCTAAATAATAGTAAGGACTTAAAATATTTTTCTTTTTTCTTGCATGGGTAAACTAATATAAGATTCTATTGGACACAAAGTGAGGGATTGTTTTTCTAGTGTTATAAAGTAATAAACTGATCCCTTAAAATTACTACATAATATAATAAATGTAAAAAATATTTAAACACTGACATGAGAAAAACTAATAATAGTAAACAAAAGATGTCATTTTTTGATGCCGTGGGTAAATTTGTATTTATATAAGGGCTATTTTACCTGTAACACTTCTAGCTTCAAAACTTGTATAGTTTTGGATAAAATTTGGTATTCAAACCTAAAAGGTTTTATTGTTTAAAAAAAAAAAAAAAAGCAAGTTTTTCCATTTTGTTCAATTTAAGCTTCTGAAATGAGCATTCAAAGTTGGGATGCAAGCACACTTTCTCCATTATATTCTACTCTATGCAAAATTCTGTTAATACAATTTGGAAATCTACACTCATTTCCTGTTTTACACATGTAATTATTTATTTACTGCAAGATCTTTCTGGAAATTTCTGGAAAACCTGAGTTCATTTATTGTCTATGTTTGTTGATTGTCCCTCTCCTATTATATGTGATACAAGTCCATCTCTTCAGCTATAGCTAAGTAAATAATGTGATGTAAGTGTTATGATGAGGTGGGGAGGGGGAATTGTTGAGAGCAAAATGCTACCTAGCAGTCCATTAATAACTCTTTTTCTCTTTGTGTGAATGCTTTTATCAATCATATAAAGCAACACCTTTTCTTTTGTCTATGATAAAGTTGCATATCCGACTTGAAACTCTTCAGTCTAGAATATATCTTCTCATAATGACGACTGTTTTCAAACTCTGCTGTAAAAGTGTGTTGCTAATATTTTTATTCATTTTTCAATGAGTCATAAAGAAAAAGGCAATTGCAAAAATAGATGACTGATTTGAGCCACATTGCATTGCTTGGTGTCTGATTAGTGTAGCTTTTCTGTAATTTGCTATCAGATATTTTATTTAGTGCAGGGACTTTCACTTATCTTTCTTTCAAGGTCGTATGTATTTTATTAATTTCAATTCAGATGAAAATTTGGACTAAAAGAATAAAATTAATTTTTATCTGGAAATTTGCAGTTTTTAAAATTATATATCTGTGAGGATGCATCACAGCGTAAGTATGCAAAAGGTGATATCTCCTTTTGGTCGAGATGAAGTCAAGTGATGGCTGCTTAGTGACAAGTGGTCAGTCCTTCAGTCAGTTTCCAGGAGTCAAGATGAGCAGTTGCTTTTTTAGCATGAGTGAGGCCCTTGCTTAACCCAGATGGAGGCTAAATCTGCCTTCTCCACCCTGCTTAAATCTGGTATCCTAAATATGGCTTATCCAGAAACACAGAAGAATCTCTGGCAGCTCTAGTTCCCGTTGAGAATTACTATACGTAAGACTCTCTTTTTCTGTCTCTGTTTCACTCTGCTTGTTGTTGCATACATGTTATAGTTTCTATGCCTGGGACATGTGTAAATATTTACATATAATTTTGTGTACAACTTAGTGGCATAAAACTCTCTTTGGGAACCAAGCACGTTTGTCGTTCCTTTTCTTACAGCTATTCTGTTCCATCTGTGAAATAAGGTGTTATATCATGGACATAATAATGGGAGAATATTCCTTTTTTCCCTTTAACAGACTAATATTTTCACTGTATAATGTTCTCTCTACATGATTAATATTCACCACTAAATTAAGTGCATTGACAAGGAAGGAGATTATGTTGAAAAATATTTATGTAAAATAAATGCTTCTTTTTCATCATTTAGCTATGGACTTATTGATGTAATGTAGATGTAATATATGTTCAAATAAGTTTTATTAAAACTGAGTGACAATGTCTGTCAAATTTTTGCTGCATTTTTTCCAGTTTGTGCACATCTAGATCACTTTTATGGAAAAACTGTCCAAAGACCATAATGTTTTTGTTTGAGTATGTTCAATCCTCTTTGTCATTAAGGTTATTAATATCATAGAGAAAAACTTTTATTAGCTTCATCTTTACACATTTTTAGGAAAACTATATTTCTAATTATAATAATTTAAATGTATTATATACAAGTGATGTAATGGGTAGGATAGTTTGTAACTATATGAAAAAGTTATACATTTTAAATATAAAGAAAAAATAGTTTGTCAGTGATCACAAAACTTGACAGTGTCTGAGGACAAAGATATTATTTAATTTAACATATTCTAAAATGCCATCACCTGTGGTGACAAAATATTGTAAGTAATGTGGGTTGTTTCCTTTGTATAGTGGTATCACCAAATATTTTTGATCGGTATATGTATGAATTACAAGTTTTGATAATTGGCAGGAGTGTGGTGGTTTGTATGGTCAATGTAATGAATCAATGTTTGTGTTTTATTTTTGGTAAATAAACTTACCGTAATCAATAATGTCAAAAGCAGATCAATTAAACTTCACAAAATTGTGGGTGAGTTTTGCCCCCAGCTTCCACTTTGGAAAAGTAAAAACACATAAACCTGACTTACTCTTACATCCAAAATTCATATTACAGTACATCACATATAGTAGGGAAATGAATAACAAAAGTGACTTTTACAAAACAATACACTCAGTGCTTTCATTATTCATCGCAACAGGTCTAACCATAATAACAATACACTCTGTGCATTCCTTATTTATTGCAATAAGTCTGACCATAATTTCAATTTAATGCATTTCTGATGAAAAGAAAAATTTATTGAGGCAAAAATATATTGAATGTGCACTAGTTTTAGAATCTTTTACTGTAAATTTATATCCAGGATCATATGACATATCTCCTTTCCTTGATAAATTACTAATATAATGTGAGATTATTAAAAACAACAATGATAAAAAGTGATGACAATGAACGAGTTAAACATCTCTATACACCTGATGTCAAAATTTAAATCTAAAGCTGAGCATCCTTGTATCTTGAGTGTTTCAATAAAATTATAACTGGTCTTTGTTGTACTTCTCTGCAAGTTCCTTACTCTTTATATATAAAACTGATTCCATCAATAATGTTATTTGAAAAAACTTCTTTCTAAGAATGAAATGGGGCACTAATGAGTTTTACATCTTGTTGGTCATATTCCCACTATTATTCTTTCATGTTTTAATATTGCTTAAAAACCTTAAGCCAAATAATCCTAGTTATCAAATAAACACAAGTACTTTTCTATAGTAAAATTTGGACATTGTAGTTATGGGATCACTTCTCACTTAGTCTTTATTTAATTTCTGTATAGGTTACTTAGAAAAAATCCTTAACAATTTCGCCAAACCTATGATATATGTTTGATATACTGATGGCATATATTAACAAAAAATCTAGACTAACTAAAAAAACCTCATAATAAAAACTTTTGCGGAAAAGTCTTCTATACTTCTTATGAACTTAATAGAATCCCGTTTCTTGATGTCTTAGTAGACGCTTATATTCACAATTTTACTATAGAAAAAAAAACAGCCATCTGAAATTGTTGTCTACTTAATTGCCAATGTGAATATCTTAAATATAAAGTAGCTGTTATAAAGAACATGGACAACTGTGATACAGTAATTTCTTCTTCCCACATATTTTTATCAAGAAGTCAACAACATAAAACACTTAACAATAATTTTTCAAATTGTCATGGTGAGCAAATAAAATTATCTTTAAAGAATTTTAGAAAATATAACCCATCATCCTGATATAAACAACAATAAAAAGCATCAGTAAATTATAAGCAAATGCACTTGAAATATAAACAGTGAAAAAGAGTTTAAAAATATAATTTGGCAGTACTTAATGAGTATAATAAATACCTAAGATTTATCATTTATTATAAAAAAAAAAAAAAGTTTGACATTTAATCATTAACAACACAGGACATCAAAATTCAATCTTGGTTTGACCTAGAAGAACTAAAATCTGGTCAAATGATCAAAGATCTCTCTTTTTAGTGAAGCCAGTCTTTTCAACACCACCTTGTAAATTATTACCACTGAATTTCACTTTATTTGGCTTTCCTGCTGAACAAGAATGTGTCCTGCTGTATGGATTTAAAAAAAAAAAAAATTGGCATTGATTTTTTAAGAGAATTTATTAACTATCTTTTTTAGATAGCCATATTTGTTCACTTAAAGATTACTTTTCTTTTTAGTGAGAATGCAGCAGATAATAATTCAAATTTGAAATAGAAGAAAAAAAAAACTACATTATCTTTAGTTAGTATTTCTTCAATAAATCTAGTAGTCTGTTAGATGACCACCCTATATATATATATATATATATATATATATATATATATATATATATATATATATATATATAATATAAAATGTGTGTGTGTGTAGTAATGTTAGAAAATAGTCTTGCATTCCTTCCTAATCGTTGTTGTTTTTTTTTTTTTTTTTTTTTTTTTTTTTTTTTTCAGATGAGTTACTAGAAGGTCCAAGGAACAATACTGTATATTATGCAATTCCCTCTACAAATACAGATGAAGATAAACAGGGGAAAAATTTCACAAAAGATGAAGTAGAAGAAATGATGAAGTCAGATGCCTATCAACGAAAGATTGCAACTTGCCACCTGTAAGTCTTTTTTTTCTGTTTCATTAAAAGGCCCTTTAGCTTAGCTCTACATTTATTTTAAAGCATATATCTTTGGGTAGACAACTTAATGGTATTGCAAAAAGATGAAAGTAAAAAACTTTTCTTCACAAAACTAGTTTATTGAGGAGGATATTTAATTAAGTGGAAATAACTTGTGGCTGACATGTTCTAAGTTATTATTATTCTTCTGTTTATGAAGGGCCCATTACCAGCTATTTGCTGGTTATAAGAAAACCGCTTTTTAAAAATATGAAACCAAGGGTAATCAAATACTGAATTGGGTTCAGTACACAAAAAGTTTAGGAAATGTAAAAACACAATGCATTGAAAAATTGATGTATTCATATATGTGAAAAATGTCTTTAATTTTGTCAATAAAATAAAGTATTTCTTTCCCTTGGACTGTTTTAGTGGGAGAGGATGTTTAATTGCCAAAGCTTATGTGTGGGATGATATTCAAATAGCCATTCTTATTGGGGTGGATGTTAAAGCAATCTGAAAAATTTGTGGTTTCATTCAGGCTGCTGCTGCTGCTTTCAATGAATTTAACTTTTGTAAGGAAAGAAAAATAAATTTGTTGATAAATTGATTGTTGAGTTGATAAATTTATATTTAAACTGGGAATGAAATCCTAAGTCTTGTATTAAAAACTTCACCAAGCTGCAATATGATAAATATTTATAAAAGCTTATTAAATTATTCCTAAAATATTGAGAAATCCAGTACTTATTTTTAATAAAAAGCATTCTTTACAGATATTGGTATTCATGACTGATTTCACATTCTACAACTTCTTCAATCTGCATAATTAGATGTTTTTGTTTATTTTTTTTCCCTTTCTAATAAAGTTCTACATATTTGTATAGATTATTTTGAATTTGATTAACCATTAAAGAAAAAAAGAATTAAATAGGCAAGTTAAAAGATAACCTTATGGAATATAACTTTATGTTGGTGATACTTTAAATTTCTTTTCCTTGAAGGTGTGGAAAATGCTGGTTCAATAATTCTTTTACTGCCGACTGCTGTGAGTGTGGTGGCTTCCCGCTACACAGGCCTTGTCCCATATGCCAAGGAGAATGTAACCAAATATGGACACGCAATATCAGATCAGTAAGTTTCTTTTGATTTCTTTGGAAAAATGTAAAATGCACTAATCCCTATACCTGCATGGAAGGAAGATATGTTTCAAACACCCTCTACCCAGCAGATGCCTGAAACTAGTAATATGTATTGGATTTAGTACTATTTTTTCCCTATACATATATATCTATGATAAAGTTTCATTTATTAATTACATACAATAACAGACTTGTGACAATGATAAAATAGAACAATTCTAATAATAGACTGTAATAAAAGTTGTGTGACAGATTTGTTCTTACCATAGATCTTATTAGGCAGAATAAGAAATTAACAACAATAACTAATAATAAAATAGAACAATTCTAACAATAGGCTAATAAGTTATGTGATTTGTTTTTACCTTAGCAACCTCAATGTACAATTTTTTTCTTATTAAATCAAAAACGTTCACCTTATTACTTAAAGGAAGCACTGATGGTTTTTCTTTTGAATATTCAAGTTGCCAGCTTCTCTATTCTTGTACCTTTGGACCATTATTAAATAAAGCTAAAATTATTTATTTCTTGAATTGACTGATAACTGGAACTTGAGAGAGTGAAGATGACTGTTCTTGATCTTTATGCATCCTATGATATGACTACGATTTACTAAACAAATATATCAAAATTTCTATTCATTCTAATGATCACAAATTCTGTCAGTAAGGAGAGAAATGAAACTATAGTTGAAGGTAAATTGTTGGTTCAGTAATTCATTTGCTACACAGCCCTTGACTCATAAGTCAAGGAAAATGTTATCAAATATAACATAGATACTGTTTACCAGAATTCTCCTTTTTATGAATGTAATTTGGTTTTAAAGTTTAATTTAAAAAAAAAGTTAATATTCATATTATTTGTTGTATGAAATCAATTAAAAATGCTTCTAATCAAGTTATTAAAAGTTGACATGTATATGCATCACACATTAAACCTGAAGTGAAATCTGTAAAGCAATATTTACAACTTGTTAAAATAGTTTTCATTTGGACTTTTATTTGCTTTAAACGAAGCCAACAGTTATTTCTCTTTAAGTTTGAGTTATCTACCTTGAATTTGAAAAACAAGCTTGTATTTGGTTTATTTAATATTTTAATTATTAAGCAGAATAAATGGGAATAAATATTAAATATTGGCTAATCTTTTTTGTTAATTCAATATTTGGTTATATATTAGGGTATTCAGAAAGTAATTGAACATTTTACCACTATGAATTTTGAGTCAACCAACCAAGGCAGAACAAAGGATAACTTTGTCTAGAATTAGGGTTATGAAATGTGCTTTCTGAGTCCAGTGATAGTCGTTTATCTCCCATACCCAGAGCTGCTCTACTCTTACTGCTTGGGCATTTATATAGCCTATGCCTTAGTTAAGTTAATTAGGCAGTCATTTACATAGCATTACATCTCCCTAAAACTTGTCTCAAAACTCTTCTTCATTCATCGACTCTTCTGCAGTTTCAGAGTATTCATTCTGGCTATCTTTATAATCCGTATGTTCATCTTTTCACCCTGTAAAAGTGGGCTTCATTTCTTGTTTTACAAAATCATTATTTGAAATATCAGTGGGCATTTCTTCATTATTTTTCTCCTCATCCAATTTGATCTTTATTTGATCTGCATAGGCAAATATGCCATTTCTTATTACAGCTGTGTTGTTTCCTTTTTGTATAATGAAATTTGCCTTTTCAGGAACTGATTCCTTATTCTTTTTATACCACATTCTTTCATCAGTACAATATGATATAGTTAAAGCAGCTCTGATTTGCCTTCCTTTTTAGGTGCTACAGAAGCATTTAAGTGTTTGTGCAGTGTGGTTTAAAAGATTTAAAAAAAAAAAAAATGATGATTGTCAGGCAATGCTCTATCCACAAAAAATTTTGCTTTGTGACTGGAATATGAAAGATGTCATCCATTACAAGTTACTAGAACAGGGAACTATTGCTTCTTATTGCCAGCAATTTGATGAGTAAATGAAACATAACATTGAAAATGTCTTGCTTTGGTAAAGTGGAAAGGTGTTATTCTTCAGCATGACAATGCAAGGGAACATTCTGTAAAACAAAGACAAGAAAAAAATAAGATTGTTATGATGGGAGGTTCTTCCACTATGTCCTCCATACGCTCCAGATTTAGTCACTTACAGATTTTCATTTGTTTTTTTTATCAATGGAATATTTCAAAACTGGCAAAACATTCAGAAGCAAAGAAGAAATTCAAAACAGTCTTTCAAACTTTTTCTTTGTGGAGGGGGGAAAACCCTGATTTATTTTATTTTATTTTTTAATGTAAGGTAAAAAAAATTCCTGTTGGGCTACATTTGTTGAAAATGAAGGTGATTACATTTTTTATAAAGGATATTTAGCTTGCATTTGATTTTGTATCCTTTCTGGCAAGCTCTAATTACTTTCTGAACATTCTAATACAAGCATATTATTCAGAATTATGTTTGTATTTGTATATAAAATTTGTGTTAAGTTTCTACTGGCAAATACAACTATTTTTCTTATGTTTTTTTTTTCAGTCTCACACATATCACCAAGCTTACTGGGATGGAACCTGTAAACTTCCCCCTGATGTACAGCGAGCTTATTTTATGCGTAATGTTGTTGACAGTTCGGAACAGACCCTTGCTGAGGGAATGCAAGACTTGTCCACATGTTAAAAAGTATTTAGTGAACTGTACAGGTGTGGCTGGTATGGAACCTGTCACTTAAAATGATTGGATCTCCTGTTTGTCAGAAAAAAACAAAAAAACAAACAGGATTCCAGCATGGACCAGATGGCAGTGAATCCTGCTTCTTAGAAATTTATTCCCCACAACCCTTTCCCTAAAAATCCTTCCTTATTCCTTGTCATTAACATTTTTACCTTTTCTTTCTCTGCTTTCCTACATTTTTGTTTTCAGCCTGAGAAAATATGAAAGAACTGAAGACTTTCAAAAAAATGTAAATCTTTTAATGCTTGCTTCATTTGGCCTGTATATAGGTGTGTTCATTCTTACCTCAACACAGGCTGCAATAAAAAAAACATGCCATTGGTTCCTTTTAAAAATATAGAAATTGAAACCAACCTATTAAAAATAGACAATCAGAAAATACATGAAATGGAGAAAAAAAAACAAAAACTGATTGGAATCAATATATTTTTTTTATTTTTAATTTCATAAATTTTAACTATAAGGTAATAATGCCATTTTAAATTTTTTTTAATTTTGAAAAATTATTTTTCCTTTCATCTCTTTTTTTTTTTTTTTTTTTTTTTTTTTTTTCCATTGTGCAGTATTATATATTACTTATTTTTAAATGAGTTCTGTTATAATTACCTTGAATAGAAACTTATCAGGTGGCACCATGCTATATTCTTCAAATAGATACTACTGGCCACACAGAACTTTTGTGTTCATTATAAACTTATGATAGAAAGATCTCCTCTTTGATAGAATTATTGCAATATATTAATTTCAATCAATGCACATTAGCTTTTTATGCATTTTTCAGTAATTTTTTCAGTTTTCTCCTAAGCTTATTTTGTAACTTTTATTAGGAAAATAATAATTCTTTTTTAATGACAGATAAATTGTTAGCATAGTTTTTGAAAAAAGTTTAATCTATTTTTATGATAATACTAGAAATTTATACATAAGTGAACTTATATATTTATGTACAGAAATCATTATACACCTTTTTAGAGTTGAAAAAAAAGTTGGTATCTACTCATCCAAGCTACTAATGTTGACGAAAGCAAGATTTTTCAGTTAATTAAAAGAAAGATCTAATGTTGGTTTGGTTTTGTGCCATATTAATTCAGTAAGCGCAAATGAAAAAATACTTACAAATATACTTAAAGGTTTGTAACTTTTGAGTTTTTTTTTTTATATATTTAAACTTGTGTTGTGTAATTTGAAAATATTTGATTGGTTGCAGCCTGAAGAATGTTGTTGTTACATTTTATGTCTTTAAAAGTTTTTCTTAAAGATAAGTTTTGTAAGCTCTTTAGTAATATTTAATTCTCCAAAATGAGACAATGTTTTAAAGGCTATCCAGATACATTTATATATTTATAACATAAATTTGTATCATCATTATGGGATACAAAGATAAAAACTGTACAAACAGCTTCTCTTATTATTTCTGGAAATTTTTTAAAATATTCACAGCATTTATTATTTTTAATAAATATATAAATTATAAATTTAGGCTTTTTATGGAATTCAAACACCCCCCTTTTTTTTTTTTTTTACCCAAATTAATAACTCTTTTTTTCTGAACACCTCTGTAAGCATTTTAGAATATTTGTCCCTGTTTTATTTCTATTTATTTGTCCTCCATATCTTGTCTACTGGAACACAGTCTTCCTTTTCTTGGAATCTCAACTAATTTTTTTCAGTTGGATTTTCTTTGGAGCATTTCTTTCTGTGAAGTACATATCCTGAGCAAGAAATCCATTTTATTTCCCAAATTGTTGCCAATATGGTTTTTACAGTTGCATTTCACGTCATCGAATCGATTATTTTTTAATTTTTATTCTGATCTTTCACATGTTTACTTGCTTGGGAACCTCTTAAATAACTATTAGGATTTCTCTAAGCTAAGATCCCAAACCATTTTAATGCTGATTGTTAGATTTACTCTTGGCATTTTTTTTTTTTTTTTTTTAATAGTTTTTGTTTTTGATGTTTGAAGGGAGCCATATCATTTATAAACAGATTTTTTTTTTTTTTTTTTTTATCATTTATCAATATTTAAGTAATGTCATTATGTAAAAACATAATTTTACATGTTTGGCATCATAACAAGTTTTGGCATAAAAAAGGCTCCAAGGAAGATATATTTTCATGGTATTTGAAAATATTTTGATATTATTCAGGTTGGAATAAATTAGTTTCAGTGAATTCAACAGCATAAAAGTTGGAATCTTTAAGATTTATATTTGCAATAAAAAAAGTATGTATAACTATGGCAAGAAATAGGTAATAATTTTTATTCTTAAAATATCTTAAATCTTTTTTTTTTCTCTTAGCCTGGCCATCAATGTAAATAATAAGAACAAAGAATTATTTCTCTATACTAGATTATATCTGTGATGTGATTTTTGCACACATTCATTTTTGCAGCACAATTGTCTATGGAGGATTTGTATATATGATTTACATGTAAGCTATCATTTAAATTTATTTTTTTCCAAGTGTAAACATACTTTTTGCATTTATGTTTTGTGTTGGTACAAAAAGAAACTGGCACAGTCAAGTATAGTGAAATAATTTTTTCATTGCTTTGTATTACTTCTTGCTAAAAAGAAAAACGGCTTTCATAAATAAAAAGTAATAAAACAATGATTTCGTATAATTAATATATCTGGGCTCAATTTTGTGGGTTTTACCTTCACAAAAAAGTGATATAGCAAAACTTAAATATGACAGTTTTATTCCTTGGAGAGGACAGCAAAGATATAGCAAGACTTAAATATGGCATGGGTTTGTTCCTTTGAGAGAGCAGCAAAGAAGGGATTAAAAGATGAGCTGAACTTGAACAATTACATTCATATATGATGAATTTGATTTTGTAATTTTGAACTACAGTATTCAAATAATTCACAAAATAACATTGGGACCAGTGTCCTTACTTCTGTAATCTTAGACAAGTGTTGCTTAAATGAAAGGTTAGGAAGGACACCCCTCCCCTCACTCCTAGAAAGTGTAATAACAGCGGACTCTTGAGAGAAAGATTTTATAAATTTCAGCCAAAAGCAGCTCTGGCTGCTCAGCCAATAAATGCTCAATGTTACCTTATAAGGAAATGGCTCATCTCACCATTACCATTTATAATATCTGTCCAGACATATTTAAAATTAACAAAAAATAGTTAATTTAATTTGGTTAATGGTACTCTTTGAAAGTATTTGGGACGTTTGAAATTGGAGAGTTGAGTTTGAATTCCAATCAGGTTCATTACATTCACTTACACATAAATATCCTTGGGAAATATCTGTCTGTATTTTTTGAGATGAGGTATTATAACTATTTACATTATTGGTACTGTTGCCCTCATCTTTGCCACATTCACATTGTGAATGTGACAATAAAGATGACAACAGTCCGAATGATGTAAATAGTGTAAATCCTTGGGAAAGTTATGAATCCATCTTCTCCCCTCAACTACGGGTTAAAAAAAAAATTGGAAAAATGATTATTCTCAAAGAAATTGTTAATTCAATATTCACTTGCAATAAAAAATTAATCTTAAAATGCCTCAGTTTTAAATAACCCACAAAGGGTTGATATGCCATAAAAGACAAATCATTGAATGAATCAATCAAATTTGGGACCTTACACATTTATAACTGCATCTCTTCCACTTTTAAAAAAACAGTTTGCAAATGAAAACAGTTTGGGATTGCCATCCATTACCTTATTGCATTTTCCTTAATCTTTTCCTTTCCAATGGCAATTTTAGCTTTGGGGAAAGATAAAAGTAGATAGCCAAAGCTGGACTGGAGTAGAGCCGACAGATAATGGGTGAAGTGATGTTTCATTCAAAAACGTGCATGTGACCTGAAGAGTCAGTAGGCAAATTGCCATGATGAATGTGATGGTCATTCACTAAACAAGCTCACTAAATGGCATCTCAATTGCTGATTTAATAACTTTATTGTAATGTGTTCATGCCTGTGCAGTAAGGTCCCCTCTGTTTCGTTGCCATTGCTTCTCAAGATATTCAGTATGATTGAATACTTTCCAGAAAGAACTCGTACATATAGCTGTTATTATCAAACATCTTTATTGATACATGTTTAAATTTAATCTAAGCTTTCGGCTTACATAAGCCATTATCAAAGATGACAATTACTTTTCAATATATCAACAAATACATGGACGAAACAATAATGTTAGTCTGTTTTTGTTGCATGAAAAATTTCAAAGCAACGACTAACTTGTGTATACTACACGAGAGTGAAAACAAGAATTATTAAGTATGGGAAGCCGTTGGTATAAACCAATGGCTTCTGTTATCAATTAAAGGCATTTAAGAATATTTGTGGAGATTTTGTAGTTTATTTTGTTCTGGTTAGGTTTCAACTGTTTTATGTATATAGCTTCAAGAATTTTTAGTTATTGTTTTCGTGTTTAAGTATAGTTGTGTATTCAACAAGGATTTTCTGGAATTGTGTATGCGGCCAGGCATGTTGTTTTAAACGCTTAAAAATGTTAGTTATCAATTTGCTTCCGCGTCTTGTATACACGAGTTAGTCATTGCTTTGAAATTTTTCATGCAACAAAAACAGACTATCATTATTGTTTCGTGCATGTATTTGTTGATATATTGAAAAGTAATTGTCATCTTTGATAATGGCTTATGTAAGCCGAAAGCTTAGATTGGATTTAAGCATGTATCAATATGGTGATTTCCTTTCGTCTTTCAATGATAATGTTATTAAGCTTAACAGACACTATGAAAGGAACTTACTTAAAATAAATAAACAAAACTTGTCTATATTATTTAATGAAACATGCATCAATGAAAAATTGCTGCCTAAATATACACACACACACACACACACACACACACACATATATATATATATATATATATATATATATAGGGATGGGATGTATTTTTCATTTATTAATCTGACAGATTTTTATTATTTAAACATTATTTTTAG